TCCCTTATTCTTTTTTCTTGCTTCCTCCCAATTTTTATTTTTATTTTTTGAACAATGTTTTGAGTTTCATTAACACGAAACACGGAAGTCATCTGTGAGGCTCTGTCCCATAGAGAAGGGTCCTTCCTTCATGCCTGTTACTGGAATGTAGATAAACACAAACAGAAATCAAACAAACTGCGAATTACTCCGTCTTTTCCCAACGGATACAGCAGTGGTCCTCACAGTAATGCACCAGTCTGGAAAACACGCCTTCGGGCTGCTCCTTCCCATCCCCCAAGGCCGCAGCGAATCCTTCCTGTCGCCTCCTATTGGCCAAGGCAGCCAAGCATTTAAAAGTCGTTGGTTCGCAGACGCCCAGATCCGCTAGGACGTTCTCGTCGAACTCTGTCACTTAATTAGATTGCCAATGAACGCCGGATACGTCAGGCCGTGTTCCTGGGTAGCACCTGCAATTCGATGAATCCAGAGGGTCCTCAGGAACCTCTTCCTCGGGTTTCGGGCTTCGGGGCTTTGGTGCTGGAGTCACGGCTCTGACCGCCCATCGTAGCAGCGTTTTTTCCTCCCCCTGAAGTGCCTGGCGCGCTTCGGCACCTCCCGAATCGCCGGTAGCGGTCGGTGTCGCGATGTGACGCGATTCCGCAGCCGGAGCTGCGCGGTGAGGAAGACCCTTAGGCCCGCGGGTCCTCCCGGTGAGGAGCCGCACGGTCTCCCAGGGCACGCGGTACAAATACCTACTTGCCTTCCATGCCTGTTGGGTCTGTGGGTGGTTTCCAACCTCTGTCATTGCAAACAGTGCCTCAGTGAATAACCCCGCACACACACACCGTTTTGCGAACAGATGACGTATCTGCAGGGCAAATTCCCCGAAGGTGTATTGACGTTTTTTTCTCTTTCCTTTTTTTTTTTTTTTTTTTTTTTTTTTGAGAGGGAGTCTCTCTGTCGCCAGGCCGGAGTGCAGTGGTGCGATCTCAGCTCACTGCAACCTCTGCCTCCTGGGTTCAAGCAATTCTCTGCCCCAGCCTCCCAAGTGAGCTTGATTACAGGCACCCACTACCACGCCCAGCTAATTTTTTTAATTTTTATTTTTAGAAGAGACCGGGGTTTCGCCATCTTGGCCAGGCTGGTCTTCAATTCCTGACCTCGTGATCCACCCACCTCAGCCTCCCTAAGTGCTGGGATTACAGCACACCGCACCCGGCCGGTCTGCTGGAGTTTGTCACCACTGTGCTAGGTCCCTTTTGTACCACCTATGGGCCTACGCCTCCTTACCATGGGCCTTCCTTGGTCTCTTGGAGAGATTTAGTCCCCAGGACAGTTAGGTAACTGATATATTGTATGTATAACTCACAGGATGTGACAAACACAGCTTTATCTTCTACCCTCTCTAAAAATGTATCCAGTAGAGAGTATCTTCATTTGTGCTCTCCACCCTCCTCTCCCCCCCCCCCCCCCCGCCCCCATTGAAAACTCTAACAAGGCTGAATTAGACTCCCAGGGCCTTGCAACAAAGTATCACAAACAGAGTGGCTTCAAAATAACAGAACTTTGTCTCCCAATTCTCAAGCCTAGAAGTTAAAAATCAAGGTGGCAGCAGGGATGTGCTCCCTCTGAAACCTGTGGGGGGTCCTTCCTCGTGTCTTCCTTGCTTCGGTGGTTTGCAGCATAGGTCCAGCCTCTGCCATTGACGTCACATGGCATTCTCCCTGTCTCTCATTTGCCATATGTCCATTTGATTATAAAGACGCCAGGCATATTCGGTGAGCGTCACCTCATCTCAACTAATTACATCTGCAACGAACTGTTTCCAAAGTAGGTCATATTCTCAGGTATGGGAGTGGTTAGGACGTTAACAGCTTTTTTAGGAGGATACAATTGAACTCATTAACACAGACTCAAAACTTTTCTGCTCATGTTAGGTTGGAGACAATCTTAGGGTCACTTTTTATTTATTTGTTTGATTGTTTAGAGATGGATCTTGCTCCATTGCCCAGGCTGGAGTGCAGTGGTGAGATCTCAGCTGACTGCAACCTCTGCCTCCCGGGCTCAAGTGATTCTCCTGTCTCAGCCTCCTAAGTAGCTGAGATTACAGGCACAAGCCACCATGCCCAATTAACTTTTGCATGTTTAGTAGAGACAGGGTTTTGCTGTGTTGGCCAGGCTGGTCTCAATCTTCTGAGCTCAGGTGATCTGCCTGCCTCGGCCTCCCAAAGGGCTGGGATTACAGCTGTGAGCCGCTGCACCCGGCCAAGGTCACTTTAAATCACAAACTTGTTCTCAATTCAGAAACTAGTATGCTCAGTCCTAGATATTTATCAGTTCTTCAAGCTTCATTCCAAGGCCAGCCGGCTGTGCTCAGGACAGGGGCTGCCTGTCTGCAGGAAGGGGGGTGGTTGAAGGTTTCCCAACCCTCTGCAGACCCCTTTGGTGCCAGGGGACGGGGAGTGGGGGTGGAAGAAGGATGGGACAGATCTGACCCGGCTGGGAAGTTCTGTATTCTCAGGGCCTGCTGTGGCTATCCCTTTCTTCTCACTAGGAATTTTGGGATTTCTCTGGAAATTTCCACTCTGGATCTCCTAATTCCTGTGAATGTCACTCAGTTTACACACTTTCTCCCTCTGCTATTTAGAGAAGGTGGACCCTCAAAATTGAAGGGCTTTTAAAACGTTGTAATTGTTTTTCCTTTTTTTCCCAGAGAGTCTCACTACGTTGCTGAGGCTGGTCTTGAACTCCTGTGCTCTAGCTTTCCTCCCACCACAGCCTCCCAAATAACTGGCTATAGAAGTGTATCACCACATCTGGCTTATTTCTAGTTTGTTTCTTTATTCATGACTATTTTCTTTTCTGAGACAGGGTCTTGCCCTATTGCCCAGGTAGGTGTGCGGTGGCATCATCTTGGCTCACTGCAACCTTGACCTCCTAGGCTGAAGAGATCCTCCCCCCTCAGCCTCCTGAGTAGCTGGGACTACAGGCGTACACTGCCATGCCTGGCTATAGATATATATATCTTTGTATTTTTGTTTTTAAAGAGATGGGGTCTGTGTTACTTAGGCTGGTCTTGAACTCCTGGGCCCAAGTGATCCTCCCAGCTTGGCCTCCCAAAGTGCTGGGATTACAAGTGTGCCCACAGCACTCAGCCCTCATTTTTTTAAAGCGTTATTTTTAGAAGAGTTACAGATTTACAGAAAATTTGCAAGACAGTGCAGAGAGTTCCAAAACCAATTTCTGATATTTGTATCTTACATGAGTATGGCACATTTATTAACAATTAATAAACCAACACTGGTGCATTATATTTATATTATTGGTACATTATTTAAATTTCCTCCGTTTTCTCCCAGTGTCCTTTTCTGTTCCATGACCCCATCTAGCACACCACTTCTATTTAACCATCATCTCCTTAGATGCCTCTCGGCTGGGAGAGTTCCTCACGCTCTCCTCGGTTTTGGTGACCTTCTCGGCCTCTGTAACAAATAGAGCTTCTCTAAAAGCCAGTGATATTTATTTGGGAAGAGAGTTTTGCAACGTGACCATGGGAACCATATTAAGTATATGTATATTCAGGAACGTAAAGGAAGACCAAGGTTTTTAAAGGAAAAATGAGGAGCGCCCGCCCCCCACCCCGCCCCGCCCCGCCCCGACTTAACTTCTGAGGCCGAGACGCGGCCGCTCCTGCGCCGCACACTGGTTTTGATAATCAACCTCAGCTACAAGTATAAGATATGATAAGGGTGACAGCAGTCTGAGGGGCAATTTCTGGGCAGAAGTCCTGGCAGGAGTCTTTTTTTGGGAAGGCTGACATGGCCTTTGTGCAAGGTTTTGGTCTTTTGTGAGCATTTGTGATATCAGGCATTCATGAACAGAACTCTTTAGCGCGATTTGTCAGGTTTTTGGTTTTTTTTTTTTCCTCTTTTTTTTTTTTTTTTTTTTTGAGACGGAGTTTCGCTCTTGTTACCCAGGCTGGAGTGCAATGGCGCGATCTCGGCTCATCGCAACCTCCGCCTCCTGGGTTCAGGCAATTCTCCTGCCTCAGCCTCCTGAGTAGCTGGGATTACAGGCACGCGCCACTGTGCCCAGGTAATTTTTTTTGTATTTTTAGTAGAGACGGGGTTTCACCATGTTGACCAGGATGGTCTCGATCTCTCGACCTCGTGATTCACCCGCCTCGGCCTCCCAAAGTGCTGGGATTACAGGCGTGAGCCACCGCGCCCAGCCTCCTTCCTCTCTCTCTTTTAACACAAATGACTCCACCATTTTGATTCTGACAACATTCGCAACCCTGACAGATTTTAGGTTAACTATTTTGTACAATGTCCCTCTACTGGGATTTGTTTGATGTTTTTCTCAAGATTAGACTGGGCTATTGGTTTAGTAAGTTTGGTATAAAAAAGCTATTTGGTCTTTGTCCCCAGTTCCTGACACAGAACTCCTAAACCCCTTGGAATTTCCTAGGCAATAGGAGCGTTTTTGTTATTCATAATGAGTCCCTTAATCAAATCAGAGTTTATGCTAATGACGCTCTAGGATGGATTCAGGGTGGGGCACGTGATCAGAGGGTTGTAACTTTCAGCCCTAACACGTCCCTACTCCCCTTGCGGGAAGGGAAAGGGGCCGGAGGTAGAATTTAATCACTAATGGCCAATGACATAATGAAACCTGGATAAAAGCCCCTTAAACAGTGCGGAGAGCTTCCAGGCAGGTGGAAGGGAGGTGCTGGGAGGGCAGCACTCCCGCCCTTCATGCCCGCGTGCTGCGCATCCCTTCCAGTTGGCTGTTCCGGAGTTGTGTCCTTCAAAATAATCTACTAACAATAAGTAAAGTGCCTCCCTGAGTTCATGTCGTCCCAAGGAATTGCTGAACCTCAGGGGAGCTATGGCAATCCCCCAGTTTCTAGTGGGCAGGGTAGAAATGTGGGCACCCCGCTTGTGGCTGGCGAAAGGAGGAGGGGAGTCTCTGTGGGCTAATCCCTCGGCCAGTCGGTTGGCGCTGACTCAGGTGGTGTCAGAGAACTGGGGAATAGGTCGATGCTGGAAAGGGCAACGCGGCGTTTGGCGGGGTTCAGGGAGGAAGGCGCGCAGGGAAGGTGGGGCCTGCTTTCCGCGTAGCAGGGTGAGGTTCGGCCCTGTAAGGGCGCAGGAGTGGGCCAGGCTGGAGCGAGCGCGGCAAGGAGGCGGCAGAGGCGCGTCTCCCAGGCAGCGTGGGCTAGAGAGGACGGGTGGCCGAGCGGCAGGAGCTGGCTAGCGGCGAATGGCCCGCATCCCGGAGCGCGCGACACCTCGGCAAGGGCAGGAGGACGCCGGGAGGCCCCGCGGCCCTGCGCATTGAGCCCGGCTGCATCGCCAGGCCGGCCACGAGGGGGCGCAGCGCGGCACGGCGGGGATTCGCTAGCGACCACCTGGCGCAGGAGCGGCCGCGTCTGGGCCTCAGAAGTAAGTCCGGGCGCTTAGAGCCGGGGAGAGGGGTGGGCGCTCGCCGGGGAGTGCTGGGGCCGGGCGAGGGTCGGGCGGTCCACGCCGGGCAACTCCCGGGGAACAGCCGTGTGCTGGGTCGGGCCCGCTAAGCTGCAGCCAGCACGGCCGGAAAGCCGGCTTCAGCTGCCAGAAGGGGGCGGGGCTTCCGGTGGGGCAGCCACGGGGACCTCGCGGCCCAGGGCAGCGCCGCCTCCTCGCGCCACTAGCGTTCCTCCCTTAAGACCCGGGCTGGCTCGGCCTGCCTGTCAGTGCGCACGCGCGGCTGACGCGGCCTGGTCTCCTGGGTTCGGGAGACTTGTTCCCCTCTCACGGGCTCCTGGGCCACGTGCCCCACGCTCGTGTTAGGGGCAGAGCCGCAGAGCCTACCCGTCGCTAGAAAACACGGGTGACTTCTCCTAGGACCTATGTGTGGGGAAAGGCTTCCTAATGACCCAACGCCTATGTGCCAGGAAGAAAAAGATTGGTACATATTAAATAACATTAAAAATCGGAAGCTGGGGCCGGCTGCGATGACTGACGCCTGTAAATCTCCGCACTTTGGGAGGCCGAGGCAGGCTGATCACTTGAGGTCAGCAGTTCGAGGCCAGCCTGGCCAACATGGTGAAACCCAGTCTCTACTAAAAATACAGAAATTAACTGGGCATGGTGGCGGGCGCCTGTAATTCCAGCTGCTCGGGAGGCTGAGGCAGGAGAATCTCTTGCACCCTGGAGGTAGAGGTTGCAGTGAGCTGAGATTGCGCCACTGCATTCCAGCCTGGACGACAAGAGCAAAACTCCATCTTATTAAAAAATAATAATAATAATAATAATAAGCTGGGTCAGACGCTGTGACTCACGACTCACACCTCTAATCCCAGCACTTTGAGAGGCTGAGGTGCGAGAATCACTTGAGTCTAGGAGTTTGAGACCAGCCTGGCCAACATAGCAAAACCCCCTCTCAGCAAAAAATAAGAAAACTTAGTTTCAGCTACTTTGAGGCTGAGGCGGGAGGATCGCTTGAGCCAGGGAGGTGGAGCTTGCTATCAGCAGAGATTGTGCCTCTGCACTCCAGCCTAGATGAGGAGAGACCTGGTCTCAAAAACAACAACAACAAAAAACTAAAACCCTACCATTAATTAAAAACAAATGGAAAACTGGGAAAAAATATTTGCAAACTCTATCACAGATAAAGGGTTAACATCTCAAATACCTAAATAACTCAAACATTGAGGGAACCAAAGACCAAATAGGCAAAAGACACAAACTGACAATCTGCACAAAAATGACATAAAACTGGCCTTTAAATGGAAAGCTGTTCGGTTTCTCCGGTAGAAAGGGAAAGCAGGGTGCTCTGGGGTAACATGAGTTCGAAATGATCCAGTTGCTAAGTGTGTAGAGCAACAGGACAGGCTGTGGGGTCACAGATCTCTCATACATTGCTGGTGGGAATGCAAGATGGTCCAACTCCTAGAGAGGAGAATTGAACATTGTTTAACAAAACTACATATGCATTTACCCTTTGACCCAGCAATTCTACAGCTAGGAATTTACCCTGGAGAAACACCTACAGGGATATAAAAGTGTATGTATGTGCAAGGTCACTCATTGCAGTATTGTTTGCAATGGCAACATTTTGGAAGAACTCCAGTGCCAAAACATAGGCAATTGGTTGAATAAACCCTGGTATCTTCACACGATGCAGTTATAACAAGGAGCAGGGAAGATCTTAGTGGACTGATGTGCAGTGATTTCTAGGGCATACGGTACTAGGAAGTGAACAAAAGTTAAATAGAGAGTACTGTATTAGGCTACTTTTTGTGTGAAACATTGAAGTATCTCCTTATTTTTGGGGAAAAAAAAGAAAAGAAAGGGAAAAATGAAATCCAGGAAGAAAAAACTAGAAACTAATAAACTGGTTATTTGCAGTGGGTGAATGGGAATGGGGTGAAAGTCTAAAAGGAAATGACCCACCTGCAGGCATACCTTTTTTTGGGAGCAGTTTTGACTTTTCAAAACGTGTTAATGTTTTAGTATGTAAAAGGTAAAACTAAATAGATATAAGATGTGGGAAAAGAGACTAAAATTGAATACAAACAGAAGTGAACAAATGCGCTAAACTGCATAGTAAATTATCATAGAAAGGCAAAGTCTAATAACTTTTAATACAGCTCTTTGACTACACCCATGTGTAAACAAAACTACAAAGAGATTTTGTTCTTCACTTAGTTGGTGGTGATCTGGTATAGCAATTCTGAAAATATTCTCTGTGTATTATAGGATTAAGCAAATAAGTAAATATAATGATATTCTTGGGAGCCAGGAACCTCACTATGAGAGAAGATAAAAATATAGAGTAAAGGGGCCAGGCATGGTGGCTCACGCCTGTAATCCCACCACTTTGGGAGGCTGAGGTGGGCGGATCACGAGGTCAAGAGATCAAGATCAGCCTGGCCAACATGGTGAAAACCCATCTCTACTAAAAATACAAAAATTAGCTGGGCCTGGTGGCATGTGCCTGTAGTCCCATCTACTCGGGAGACTGAGGCAGGACAATCCGCTTGAATCTGGGAGGCGGAGGTTTCAGTGAGCCAAGATCTCGCCACTGCACTCCAGCCTGGGTGACAGGCAAAAAAAAAAAAAAAAAAAAAAAAAAAAAACAGAGTGAAGGAAGGAAAGAAAGAGCTCCATGAATTAGAATGAGAGACTCCACATATTACTTACTAATTGCAAAGATACAAAAGGAAAGGAAACTTCATAGTGGAGAAGCTTGGAAACTTGGTGGATAACTCTCTTCATTTTTTTGGAGGCGACGTGTCGCTCTGTTGCCCAGGCTGGAGTGCAGTTGTGTGATCTTGGCTCACTGCAACCTCTACCTCCCAGGTTCAGACAGTTCTCCTGCTTCAGCCTCCTGAGTAGTGGGGACTACAGATGGGCACCACCACGCCTAGCTAATTTTTGTATTTTTAGTAGAGACAGGGTTTCACCATGCTAGGCATGCTGGTCTTGAACTCCTGGCCTCAAGTGATCCATCCGCCTCAACCTTCCAGAGTGCTGGGATTATAGGTGTGAGCCACTGCACCCGGCCTTCTTCATTTTGTCTTAAGCATTTATTTCCAAGATCTGTCTCCTGAGAGAGCTGGGGAGCAGGGCCACCCCAGTAGCAATGAGCATTCCTCATGACCGTAAATTGGTTTCTAAATACCATTGTTACCATTGTCCATTAAAAGGAGCCAGAGCTCCTGGGAGAAATGGCTCATTGGATGAAGGACAGGGAAGGTAGACGATGAGTCGGGCACAGCTTGTTCAGAACACAAGGAGATGCTCAAAGAATGATGGAGTTAGGTCAGAAGGAGCCGGGTTGATGGGGCTCCCATGGCCAAACCTGGAACAATTTGAATATCAAAATTAATAATGGCAGTAATGAATTATCACATTGAATGAAACAGAAGCCACGAGTGCAGAGTAATACTAAAAAGCAAATAAACTTACCAACAAATACATAAACAGAGGTAGAAAAGGAGAATGCCAGCTAATGATTGCTGAAGGAACAACAGTTAGAAAAGTTGGCTAGTCCGAAGATAGAGAGTTAGCTCGATTGTTCACAGATTGAACTCTTTGTTCTATTCGTTCCCCCCTCACTACTGCCCTTGACTAATCATAGAAAAAGTTCCCACATTGCAACGACACAGTCATCACCGATTCAGGGGCGGGCTTGCTGGGTGTCTTGGTCCATTTTACGTGTCTGTAACAGAATACCAGAGACTGGGTCATTTATAATGAACAGAAATTTATTTGACTTATGGTTCTGAGGCTGGGAAGTCCAACACTGAGGAGCCACATCTGGTGAGGGCCTTCCTTCTGGCTGCATCATCTCATGGTGGAAAACAGAAGGGCAAGAGGGTGGGCAAGGGCAAAGGAAAGGAAGGGGGCCAAACCCGTCCCGTCATCAGGAGCCCACTCCCGCAATGACAGCAGAGCCTTCGTGACCTAATCACCCACCTCTCAACACTATTGCGATGGGGATTAAATTTCCAACACATGCGCTTGGGGAATGCATTCAAACCATAGCACTGGAGGATAAGATGCCAAAGTGTCACTCCACAGATTACTTATGAATTGCAGATATAAAAAAGGAACCTTTATAGTGTGGAAATCTTCTGGATACCAATTTAACTGTGTGAACAAAGTCAGCATCATCAGTTTGAACTGACATCCCATGCCAAAAATGCATAACCTGAAGTGGATTTAGGAAGCATCAGGCAAACTCACATTGAGGGACCCGCTGCAGTACAAGGGGCTGGCTTTTTTGTTTGTTTTTGAGACAGAGTCTTGCTGTGTCGCCCAGGCTGGAGTGCAGTGGCACGATCTTGGCTCACTGCAAACTGCACCTCCTGGGTTCAAGTGATTCTCCTGCTTCAGCCTCCTGAGTAGCTGGGATTACTGCCTCCCGGGTTCAAGTGATTCTCCTGCTTCAGCCTCCTGAGTGGCTGGGACTGCAGGTGTGTGCCACCATGCCTGGCCAACTTTTGTATTTTTAGTAGAGATAGGGTTTCACCATGTTGGCCAGGCTGGTCTTAAACTCCTGACTTCAAGGGATCCGCCCACCTGGGCCTCCCAAAGTGCTGGGATTACAGGCGTGAGCCACCTGTCCTAACTGGGTGACTTTTAAAAGATGTCAAGGTCATGAAAGACTAAGGAACTGTTCCTGATTAAAAGGGAATAAAGGCTGGGCTCGGTGGCTCATGCTTGTAATCCCAGCACTTTGGGAGGCTGAGGTGAGTGGATCACAAGTTCAAGAGACCTAGACCATCCTGGCCAACGTGGTGAAACCCCATCTCTTCTAAAAATAAAAAAATTAGCTGGGCATGGCGGCATGTGCCTGTAGTACCAGCTACTCGGGAGGCTGAGGCAGGAGAATCACTTGAACCCAGGAGGTGGAGCTTGCAGTGAGCCAAGATCACGCCACTGCACTCTGGCCT